CCAGATAAGCCACGCAGAACCACCGTTAGATCCCATTGGGGAAAAAGCAGGCGGGACACAGGTCTGTTCCTCCTGACACCTTTTAGAAAACGTTTTGTGAGGGGATGATTGAAAACAGATCTATCTCCAAAACCCTGATGACAGGATGAGATAGCTGCAGCATATGTCTTAACAGTGCTGAATGCGAGGCCCCTATCCATCAGTATCTGTAGAAACGATAGGACATCCGCCAGCTGGCAGGAGAGCGCTTGAACATTCCGTTCTGCGCACCAGTTCTGGAAAGCTGCCCATTTGGCAGCGTAAGACGCAATGGTAGAGGGCGCCCGCGCACTCTGAATCGTGGCGACCACATCATGCGGCAGCCCAGAAGCCTCTAAGCGTGACCGCTCAGCAGCCAGACCCACAGCCGTTGGCCTATTTCCGGAGGATGTTTGATTATCTCATCCGCCTGGAGAAGGGCGTCCGCCCTCCACGGGAGCCTCCACCGGGAGCCGGACACTAGCGCTTGCAGGTCCGGAAACCATGAAGGTGAGCCTTCACAAAGCTGTCTGATAGATGGAGGGGTTTCTTGCATGTTTCGGTTGGGTGTGTAGATAATCTAGGTGGGAGAGGGGGTTAGAAGACAAGGGTTCCTTTTTCATTTAACCACCTCCCCTCAAAATCACAAACTTTTTCAATACTTTTCATACTTGGGTCTTTAAAGATGGCGTTATGCATTTTATTAGGGATGTGAATCTCAGAGCAACTCACGATTTGATTCCATTCCGATTCTCATTTAAATCGATTCACAATCAATATTAACAAAGGGTGTCAGCTCCAGGATTAACTACTTTGTTGTGCAAGTTAGTTAAAGCTATGGGAAATGGTTTATTTTACTTTAAACTGGTCATGCAAAAAAAAAAGCTAATTTACAAGGTGAAATAAAGTGATTCTAAAACTGTAAACAGAAACCATCTTTTGACCAAAATGCAACATTTATTTTTACTTACCTTGTAAAATATAACAAATCTTTAGTTACCTAACAGTAGCTTTGAAAGTAATACGGTCAAATACTTTTTAAGTATCTGTGGAAACAAGTTTAACGTTTGAGTCCTCAACCTGTTTAAAAAAAGTACCTCAGATTTCTTACACAGGAAAATGTTTTCTCTCATTTATCAACAACTTCAAATGAACACACGAGTAATCCTGAGTACTCACTTGTCAACTTAGAAAATACATGAGAATATCTCAAATTTCTGAGTATGGAAAAAATTACATTCAAGTGCCCTCTTATCAGCAGATTAAAAAATAAATCATCTCAATTTATGGGACCACAAAAGTAAACGGAGTACTGACTCTCCTAACAAAGGCCAAAAAACAGACAAAAGTGCATCTCACACCTGTAACATGCCAAACAGTTCAGTTCCTGGAGTCGATTCAGAACCTTTGTGAATCGATTCTGAATCTTTATAAATAAGAATCCCGATTCAAACTTAAATCAATTTTTTTCAGCACCTCTACATTTTATACACTTCAGTTAAAATGCTGCTACTCTTTTTCATTTTCTTCCTGCAGCTGGAGGAACATAAAGCAGAAAATGAGGCGACATGCGAGGCCCTCAGGGAGAAGATCCAGCAGCTGTGGGACCGACTTCAGACTCGTCAGGTGGAGAGGGAAGCTTTGAACGAACACATGGTCTCATCTAGGAAAAGGAACCTGGAGACGGTGAGAAGACTGTGCTGCTGTTTTTTTTTTCCGCATGATCACTTATATTTGCTCTTTATCTTATTTCTATACTTTTTTTTTCTTGTTTAGTTACAAGCAGAAGTTCAGCGTTTGGAGGAGCTCAAACTGCGAAACATTCGCTCTGAGATCGCTGTGTTTTGGGACAAGTGCCTTTTCAGCATCGATCAGCGGCAGGCATTTGTGCCATATTATTGTGGTGAGTTTTATTTATTTTTGATTTATTTTTCAAGCAGCTGCTACAATTTTAATTTTACTCTGTATTAAATTATGTTTACAGATTTTATTATTTTTTAGGGGATTTTAATGAAGAGCTAATGGCTCTACACGATGCTGAGATTCAGCGTTTAAAACTGCATTATGAGACCCACAAGGGACTTTTTGAAGGTGTCCAAAAATGGGAAGAAAATTGGAGACTCTTCTTGGAGCTGGAGGTGGGTTCAGTTCATCTGATCCCAGGATTTTCACAAACGTCTTGTCTAAGCAGAATGTTCACACACAACACCTTTTAGAGTGCCAAAAGTACCCTTGTTTAAATAGATCGTAACTTATTTAGTAGAAGGTGTCTAATTAATGATGATCTTGGCATAATTTGCACTTTTTTAGTGCTTGTAGTCATTGTTGTTGTGAAGATTTTGACTGTACCACGTTATCATGGGTCTTTCATGTTTGTTTTCCTATAATCACCTCACAAAGCTAAATATTTAAGATGTTATTCAGGGCATCTGCAGGTCCTTTAAAAGTCTTAAATTTGCTTTTCCAAATTTAAGGCCTTAAAAATCCTTAAAAATTACAAATAATCCTTAAATAGTTTCCAAAGGTCTTAAATTACCAAAGGCCCAATAAACAAGATTCTTTTATTTCTATAAAATTTTCGTGAATTTCTAGTTAGTGTTCAGCATTTTTTGTGTATGATGTTGCCGTAAGCGGAACCGTACACATTCGGTTGGTTGTGAAAGGGGGCTATTTTTAGATGAGCATGCTAGTGGGAGTTTGCGCCATGGGGAAGTGCAACATTAATGGTAACTGGATGGCTAATCCCACGTTCACGACGTGGTTAGCACCGGTTCCAGGCAATAGAGCTCCGGGAGTTGACGTCACTTCTCCCGGCATGCAACAGTTCAAATCGAAACGGCGCCATATTGGCAGGTAGAAGCCGGCAGCTGGACTATTTGTTATTGTCAGAAAACTCAATCAAACGGGAAATATGGTAGATTCCTGTTGTGCCCCAGGATGCAGAACAGACACGGATGACATAAGGAATGAGCCATCTATAGGATTCCCCGAGATCCGGAGCGCCGCAAACGTTGGATCATTGTAATAAAACGCACTAGTGACCGGGGCCGGGCTAAAATGAAGCTGTGGGACCCCGAGAGTAAAGGTTTTGGCTTATGCAGCGACCACTTCATATCAGGTACTTAAACCAACGTTTTCTCAACTGTGTATGGTATTTATTTTAAATGCTTTTATTATGATTCTTAGTGGGCTTCCTAAAGTTATTTTGGTGTGGCTTTTTCTGTCTTATTACTCCTAGCAACAAGTAAACGTCACGTAAAACGTTGCCTTGTGAGTTCTGCGTGCTGCCGTTTACGTGTTTTATGATCACAGCAATTAACCGGCTAAGCTGTATTTAATTTTTAAGCAATGGTTGATCAATTGTCAGATCACACATAAAAAGCACTTTGGATTGCTATTATCTGTCTCACCGAGACAGATCTCAGACAGATCCTGAGACGCTCCTGCCTGACATATTTATTTTATTCACGGAAAACAATCAAACTAGTAATTTCTCTTGGCATTCAGTTTATACATTCAAACAGCACAGCACTCGATTTAAACTACTTAAGTGTAAATCTGTTATTTGTCCATCCATTTTCATCCGCGTATCCGGAGTCGGGTCGCGGGGGCATGTAGCGTCGAGAGGCCCAGACTTCCCTCTCCCCAGCCACCTGAGCCAGCTCCTCCGGGTAAATCCCAAGGGGTTCCCCGGCCAGGTCCGGTAAGAAGCCCGCTCCGACAGCTTCTGGCATTTTTAAAAAGTATCCCAGGGGCACGGTAAGGGTCGGAGATGTTTAGTCTATTTAATTTCTGACTATATAAAACGATTTCTTCGGTTTTAAAGTGTGAAGTAAACTCAGACGAAGTAAAATCCAAGCCGATCCCGTTCACGTTCATGTTTACATCCGTGTTTGTTTAGCTTCTTTTACCTGCCAATATGGCGTCTACTAACTGAGAGTCACGTGGGGTCCAGAGCTCTATAGCTGGAAATTATAGCTTAAATTTAATTTTAAAAATAGCTTTAATTTAGTCAAAGTGGCCTTAAAAAGGTCTTAAAGTATTAAATTTGGCTCCCTTAAACCTGCAGATACCCTGTTTATTACATTTACTACCTTAAATATTTATAGAAAAAAGCAACCGATCCAGCAAGGTTCACAAACCGAGGAGGAAATCTCCTTAAAGAGGAGAAGCATAGATCAGAGCTCCAGAAAAACTTTCCAAAGGTAAGACATGAAGACGGCTGCAAACTTTCTAAATGTCAAAGATCTTTTTGCAGTTTTAATTGTGATTTTGTTTGAAGCTTGAAAAGAAGCTAAAAGACCATATTGATGCGTGAGAGGAGGAGCACAGCCAGGAGTTCACGGTGAATGGTCAGAAGTTCCTGCAGTATGTGACACAACAGTGGGAGCTGCACCAAGTGGAGAAAGAAAAAGAGAAACTCGAGAGGGTGGGCGAGCAAACTGTAGGTCATGCATTCAGAAATGTGTTTATGATGAAATGTGGTGAATCGTTCTCTTTCCAGAAATCTTCACAGCACATGAAGAAAGCAAGCAGTCTGAGGAGGACATGCTGTATGGAACGACTATAAGAACTCCAACCAAACGCAGATTCGTTGGCACCCCTACTCCCAATAAAACACGAAAGGTGGAGTTTCTGGCTGAACTTTTAACGATCTGTTTCATCTTTTATTTTTATTGTTTAACACGATCACCTTCTGTGCCTTTCACCAGTTCAATGCTACGTCCAGCCTCTCTAGCGCCACCTCTAACAGCAGCATGCGCTCTGCTTACGGAGGAACTGTGTGTCACTCGCCTGTTCCCTGCATCCCGCTCTCCGCTAACAAGGTTGGCTTTATTCTTTTGGCGGTGGACCTTTCACACACAGTTTTTTTTTAAATCCCAGGAAATTTGAGTGAAAACATATTTAGGATCAACTCCCAGTAAGCTGTGCCATTTTGTGATTTGTGACTGGATTTATCCAAATATTACACAAGGTAATAACATGGAGATGTTTGGGTTGTCTCCTATTGCATCTTATGTGTCCGATGGAACTCCGACTTGTGCATCTTCCAGGCTCCAGCAGCACGAACACCGGGTGGCGGTAGGCCCCCCCACCCCAGAGTTCAGTGCTGCAACAAGGAGAACAAGCCCCAGCAGAAGGGGAGTCCCCTTAGTGGTGTGTTGCAGACCCCACATCGTAACTTCAGCATAGCCTCTGTTGCCAGCACGTATTCTGAGTTTGTGGTAATTGACTCTTTTGTCTAATGCATTTACTCCAGCTTTCATTGTTTGTTTATTTATTGGCTCTTTGCTGTGCTAGAACAAAACAATCCTGTTGAAATTCTAAATGATATAAGTTTATGTTTTAGAGGGACTTGGTCAGCACTGAATCGGTTCAGTCCAGGTGTGTTTGAAACCATAAAACTATGTAATCCTGACAATTCCAGCTAGGGGTTGTATGAACTAGTCGACTAGTCGACCTCACTGCTCTGTAGTGACTTTTTATGCCTGTCATCGACTAGTCGCTGTCACGTGATAATGACAAAATGCAGTCCTCAGAAAAGACAGCAGGTGACGAGCCCCTGCGCGTCTGGATCGAGGCGGAGGCGGCGCGCTGTGCCAGAGCGTTGGTACTGACACCCGCCGTAAAACTGACATTTAACCAAATTGTGACCTTTTCCCACTTGCAATTAACCCTCCCTTCACCCCCACCCTAACCTTAACCAGCTTGCGCATGCAAAGCTCTGATCGTTGACGCGCTCCAGACATCTACGTCCTGAGCACGGCCACAGTAACATTATCAAATCAGGTGTCACCACTCAAAAACAAATGTAATGCGATCGTTCATGTCGGCTCATTTCCTTTTATGCTTTCTGTCTTTGATTTTTGCCTGATGCATCCCGCTGCTGTGGAGCGGGGTGCATCACCTGTTTTGTCCTCCGGTGACGCACCTAACTGATGTGGTCAGCAAGCAGCTCGCACTCCGCTGTTTTTGCGGTCGGTAGATCTTTTAGAACTGCAGTTCAAAGGTAACTCATAAGGTGAATATAAATGAACCCAGGTAGCAGTTTTTCTTTAGGATTGAGAGGAGATGCAGGAAGATAATAAACAGGCAGGACAGAAAAATAGTCAAATAAAAACAAGTTAGTTTTTGTACCTGGTGGTTGCAACAAACAGACACCACTGAAGGTAATCAGAAGTGAGGAACAGAAAATGAAATTATTATTTTAATGTTTAGAGCAGCAGGAACTCCGAGAGGCTGCAGGCGCATCAGTGAGTTTGCGGCCGCTGCGCAGGGGGAGGGGGGAGAGGGCTGAAGCAGAAACTACCGTTGTTAAAAGAAATGTGTTTAACTTTGAAAATGTGGGCGCAATTTTAATTGTCAAAAACTCCAGCGAACCAACCGACACCCCCCCACCCCCCCACCCCCCGCCGCTTCAGGTGTATGACGTCATCAACGACTAGTCGAAGTCGACTCTATTTTCCTTACTTGACTGTCGACTTTAAAAAAAATTAAGTCGTGCAACCCCTAATTCCTGCTTTATTGCATGTTTCTGGTCAAAAGAGGGGAAGGTGCAACCCCACCACTGTGGAGGGGTGTCTCAGTGTTTGAAATGTTCTTCTAAAAGATCTGAGTTTGATGCCCCTGTAGAGGATTATTGTTCAAGCTAATTCTAATTTGCATTAAATGTGTTAATTTAATTTTAGCAGTGAAAGGGGATACCTGCTGCCTGCGTTTTCCTTGTGGGGGAGGTGAACTAATTAAAAATAAAAAGTTGACTGTGACACAGAACGTGTAAAACAAGGTTACTGACACAAATCCTTGAGACGCTGCAGATGCGTTTAGGATTAATAATCAGTTTATTGTGGACTTTTAATTGATGTGTTGCACATGTTCAAGTTCCTTTCATTTCCATTTGTGTGACCAGTTGTGATTTAAAAGTTCATGTTTATTCACTAAAGCATTAATCAAAAGAAAAATGTAAAAACCATATAAACATCATTCTACAAGACGGAGTGTTTCTAGCAGCAGTTTTATTCATACTTTGAAACTAATCAGAACTGGTAATAATTATTTCTGTGCCTTTAAAGTTTAGTTTCACAAAGGGTCATTAGAAACTGGAGAGAGAAAACCAACCCAAACACCCTACAGCTGGCTCAGGGTGCTTTGTGTATAGATTTGACAGTTCATGTTGAGCAACATGTTAAAAAATACGTAATCCGAATATCCAGACTCAACAGACAAAAATGTGACTTCAGTATTCCTCCTACAATCCGCAAAGGCTTTAGTTGCTCTCCTCACGGTCATTAAGGGCGATTTTAAAGCAGTTTCCTCAGATTTCTCCTGTTGTGCAACGGTTCTCTCACTAACTGGAACTAACAACCGTCACAATGCTTCTGTCACCAGAAAATCAATAAAAATATGCACCAGTTTTCCAAGTATAACCAACATATAAACCTGGCTCAATAGTAAGTTGATTTGTAGGTGTGGGAACACATAAGGCAATGACATAATTTCACCACACTAAACGGTCAGCCAAGAGTAATCCATCTCACTTCAGCGAGATTTAAAAGATGTCGATGGACGATGGTGTCTGAGAAAAGTCCACTTCAGATACAGACGATAAAAGAATAAGAGGCAGATATTTCTAACAAACGAGTTTCAACATTGTTTAACCAGCACTCTCAAAGTCAAATATAAATTGAACGTCACTTACTGAAGCTTACATGGTGTGCATGCTCTCAGCTGGCTGGTTTGTTTTTTAAAATCAGTTTCTTGTTTTCTGTGGGATTCCACTGAGGGATTCAACCTTACAACTGCTGTTCTTCTCCCCAACAGCGAGACCTGTCCATGGCCACTAAGTCCGAGATACAACACGACTTCCTGAACTCCACTACAACCAATCTGTGACCTCTTTGCTCTGATGGTATTACTGTTATTTTTGTTGCCGAGTCTCCAAATCAAGGTTCAGATGTCCGAGTGGGTCACCACTTTCTACTGCTATCAGCTTTTCTGGGTAGATGAAGTCAACAGTATACTGAGTATGAAGTTAGTTTATCTAGGAATCTGACATCGAATGCTGATGGTGCAATCTGTGTTTGATACGTCACTATCAAAGGAAAATTTGTTTTCTAAAATAATTGAACAGTATTTTGGGTTTCGGATTTAGTCCATTATTCAGATGTTAGTTGTCTATTATAAACTGCGCATATGCTTTTTTTTTCTCTGTTGACTGCGTGGCTTTTTGAAGTTATGCATCTGGTGTTATAGGCCAAATGTATTATTGTACTCTGCACTTTTAAATTAAAAAAATATATATTGCAACAAATTTTTACTATGATTGATTTTGGAGAAAATCTTTTTAAATAAAAAGTTTGTTTTTAACTGTCTGTATGGGAACACTGTGTTAAATTTGTGCTTGTCCCTTTTTTTTCTCTTTTTTTTTAAAAGCCGCTATGCAGATTCCATTTTATCTGGGCCTTTACAGAAACCTCTTTCTTGGCTTCAAGAAAAGGAGGTTTGAGTTTTTTCTCAACTACCCATTGAAAACTTAGTCAAATAAATCAAACTTTAATATTTTATGTTAAGCCAACACTGGCTCATCCTTCGAGATGTGTGTGATGTAGTAGATGTTCTTTTACAACAACAGTCTTATAAGCTGTTTCACCTCTGGTCAAAAAGAATGGAAGAAGTCTTTTGAAGGAGAAGAACAAATGAGTTTTTATAACTTCTAGTTTCTAAACTGAAGTGTTTGACTTTTCATCCTTGGAAAAAATTAAAAGACTCGAAGGTATTTAGTTTTTCATAAATTGTCATTAGTGCTGTTTTTGAAACTTGTCAAGACTAATGAAGATCCTGATGTATTTTTGAGCAACCCAGGTTGTTTGGTGGTTACAGGTGGTGATGCTGCAACCATATCTCAACTTCAAAGTAGTTTTTTAAAGAACCCATGTGTTGCTATTTATGAAGGCAAAAAGTAAAAATACTGATATATATATAAATATTATCTAAAGTTAATAAATGTATATAAATACCTGATTTTTTTCTATTTCAGATTGCTTAAATTTGAAGGGTTCCTTCCGGAAGTTGGACAGATCTCACCGGAAATAGAACTAGAACCAGAGAAACATGTATGTTGGCCGTAGTCTGCCAACCGGTCTTTGACAGGAAGAAAATAACACTTCGTTCTCACAATGAAACGTTGACCGTGTCCAGAAAACATTTGTTGCTACCGAAAGTTTCACCATGTCCGGAGTGTTTGCAAGGCTGCTATTCTACCCAACTTTAGCCTACGATGTTGCCATGGAGAAGGTGTCCTCGAGGCGATGGTTCGACCGGGTGGACGAGACAGTGGTGTCAAGCCAGCCTCCAATTCCAGCATTGCAGTCAAGCCAGCTTCCAGTTTGTTTTCTGTTCCCCGTCTATTCAAATTATTACAGGAATGGATGTGGAAACCGGATTTCAAAATAAAATTCAACTTCGAGTGAATTATCAGATATTTTAAGAACATAATAAATAATTTAGGCTTGTTCACTATTAGCGCCCTGTCAATATCAAGGCCATTTTATTTTGGATTTCAAAGTAAAAGCCCTGTGAATTTTCATTTTTGAACTACTATCAATGACTTCAGAATGCTCTTAAAAGCAAAAGTCATATTTCCAAAGAGTAGTTGCATGTATCAACACTATCCAACCACAGCAATTTGAAATTGCCCATATTTGACCGACTCTTAACAATTTCAAAATGCTCTAAAATGGAAAATTGCTGTTTCCACAGGGTAATTCCACTTTAGATCAACAGTATACAACCCCACAGTGATACCTTATCAATATCAAGTCATTCTGATGTTGCCTTCCAAAATAAAGGCCTTTTTAAATTGCCCATATGTGACCAAACTTTCAGTGATTTCAAAATGCTCTAAAATAGAAAATTGCTGTTTCCACAGCGTAATTCCACTTTAGATCAACAGTATACAACCCCACAGTGATACTTTATCAATATCAAGTCATTTTGTTGTTGCCTTCCAAAATAAAGGCCTTTTTAAATTGTCCACAATTGACCAAATTTTCAGTGATTTCAAAATGCTCTAAAATAGAAAATTGCTGTTTCCACAGGGTAATTCCACTTTAGATCAACAGTATACAACCCCACAGTGATACCATATCAATATCAAGTCATTCTGATTTTGCTTTCAAAAATAAAAGCGTTTTCAAACTGCCCATATCAGACTTACTCCTGGAACAGTTTCAAAATGCTCTAAAAAGAATCATATCTGTTTTCACAGGGTAATTCCACATTAGAATTATTCTGAAATGTTTTTTTTTATTCTTTCTGTTACTCACATGTATGGTTTGATGTGCATTGGTTTTATTTTGAATGACATCCCCAAGGCCCTTTAATTTATAATAGTCTTGTATTGTTTTTTCTTTTTACTTTGTCAAGTGTTCACCACATTTAAAACCCACAAAAAAGACTATAGTTAACTTTAAAATTAGTACAGAGGTGGAGAATAAACTCAGCCATGGTGTCTTTTGTTCTTATGCAGTCAGAGAGATTATTGAATGTTTGGGTGGATGTATTTTCCTCTGTGGTGGGTTACGATGTGCGCCCACCACCCCAGGCTCCATGGGGCTTGGTGGTGGTGCTAATGTAGGCCCCCGTCCAGATGGGCATTTGTGGCTTCCAGGGGTGCCTACTTGGGTCAGCGGGGGACCTGGCCACACGAGAGAGTACTTTGCCTTCACTTCACTTCCCTCCCCTCCTCATCCCCACTCCTTCACACCACCACACATGCAGGGCTTTGGGTTAGCAAGCACCTTTAATGGTATCATGACTGCACCTTTTGGACTTTACAATTACTCTCCTTGTATTGAGCTGTTCCCTTCTTCTGGGATTTGTTTTCAAAGATTAACAGATTTACCTATCTTATTTTTATGAAAATGGTTCTATTTCATAACATTACAAATACAAAGAAACGATTGTGTCATTAATATGTAAAGACAAGAAATCCACTTTGTTATATTATGGTCTAATTCACGACAAACTCCAGAATATCTATTTCCTACCCAACGGGGTAGTAAGGTTTATTAACAAGACTTCACCAACATACAGTCTCTGCCGGCATCCTATAACGGTGCGTACTCTAAAAACGCCCGTGCAGCAACACAACACACTGCGGAACCAACCAAGCCAAACAACAATGCACATCATTACATCCCTTCTCTTTTTTTTTTTTTTTTTTTCTTCCCACTAAGGGAGAAACAATATGAAACACTAACAGAACACAAAAACATTCCCAGAACACAAAAACATTCCACTATTCGAACATATGCATTTCTGCAACTGTAGTGGACATGTGTGTCCATAGAACACATAACTTCTCCCCTCAACCAGTAAAGACTGTCAAGTCCTCATTATGGCACATAGTCCTTGTACCGAAGTGGTGGAACCACTTTGCGGCCTGACCGTGTCCTGATACCCCCTGTTACCACGTCAGACTCAATCCGCTGCTCACGACTTCCCGACGGATCAGTCACTGAGCTGCTCAGTGCCCCAGTGTCTGTCATGGCATTGTCTGGATCCATCACACCTGCATGTCTCAGGTGCCTCCGATTCCTCCTCAGGACACTCCCAGAATCCAACCGAACCTCATAGGACCTCGGGTCAGTCCCAACAACCACTCCCCTGCTCCAAGTGGAGTGGCGGTCCAAAGGCTGAACTCTGACACTGTCCCCAAGCGTCAAAGAGTCCATGTCACGTGCTGACCGATCATAGCACTCTTTTTGGCGCTTCTGTTTCATCTGCAACTCCCGCCGGGCAGGAATGACTTTTGGCCTTAGCAGGCTCGTCCTGGTTGGCAAAAGCGTCCGTGTTCTCCTGCTGAGCAGCCTCTGAGCTGGGCTGGTCTCCAGGCCTTGTGATGGTGTGTTGCGATGGTCCAGAATCGCCAGATACGGGTCCTGCCCCGCCAGTTTTGCCTTTAGCAGCAGCCTTTTCGCTGTCTTCACCGCTGATTCGGCCTTCCCATTACTCTGAGGGTAACCTGGCGAAGATGTTTTGTGCTGAAAATCCCACAGTCGACTAAATCTCAGAAACTCACCGGACGTATACTGTGGTCCATTATCTGAGACAACAAGGTCTGGGATGCCCTGTCTGGCAAAGTGGGCCTTCAACTTCCTAATCACTGTGGTGGACTTAGTGTCCGGGAGATAGTCGATTTCCCAGAAGTTTGAATAGTAGTCCACTGTGATAAGGTAGTCCTTGTTGTCAAACATGAACAGGTCTGAGGCCACCTTAGCCCATGGTCTCGTCGGGATCTCGTGAGGAACCAAAGTCTCTTTCTGCTGTCTGTAATCTACTGACCTGCAGATGTCACACTTAGTCACATACGTCTTAATTTGTTCATTCATGCCTGGCCAATACACACACTCTCTGGCTCTCCGTAGGCAACCTTCTACACCTAGGTGTGTCGAGTGCAGTCTGGCTATGATCTGTTGTCTCATGACAGTCGGGACAACAACACGTTCACCCCTAAAGACAAGTCCATCCTGACTACTCAGTTCATCCTGGAACGAGAAGTATGGTCTGATGTCACCGTCCATGTCTCTTTTGTCAGTTGGCCACCCTCTGTGAATTGTGTCTATGAGGGTTTGTAGTGCTTTGTCCTCCTGTGTAGCAATCCTTATGCTGTTTAATCTGTCTGGTGAGATGGGTGCATGAGTGACCATGTTAATGCTCTCTATTTCCTCCTCTATGGAGCCCTGAGGTGCGCACTCTGGAAGATATGCCCTACTCAACGTGTCAGCTAATAGCATGTCTTTGCCTGGCACATACACCACATCTAAGTCATATTTCTGAATGCGCATAAGCATCCTTTGCAACCGTTTGGGTGCACTCAACAGCGGTTTCCTTACAATGGTCTCCAAAGGTTTGTGATCACTGTGTACAACCACTTTACGACCATAAGTGTACTGGTGAAACTTCTCCAAACTGAAAACAACAGCCAAAAGCTCCTTCTCTATCTGGGCATAACCTTGCTCTGTACGTGTAAGAGCTCTACTCGCAAAAGCCACAGGCTTACCCTTCTGCATGAGTGCTGCACCTAATCCTTTGTCAGAAGCGTCACACTGTACTGTCAGCTCTTCCTCTGGGCAGTAGTATTTCAGGACTGGAGCCACTGCTATAGTCTCTTTCAGTCTCTGGAAAGCATTGTCATGACGAGTCGTCCAATTCCACTCACTGTCTTTGTGTGTCAGTCGTCTCAGTAAGTCACAGTGATCAGACAGATGTGGGCAAAACTTTGCTAAGTAGTTCACCATCCCTAACAGTCTCTGCACTGCCTTCACATCTGTCGGCCTGGGCATCTGCTCTATAGCCCTAACCTTCTCTGGGTCTATTTTCAGACCGTTGCATGTCAGCTGATGTCCAATGTACGTAGTCTCCTTCTGTTTAAGTTTGAACTTGTCTGCGTTCAACTTAATGTTTTTCTGCCTGCAACGGG